AAAAGGGCTGGGAATGTGGCTCAGTGGTTAAATTTCCCTGGATTCCATCCCCAGTACCAAAATAGTACTAGTAGTAGTAGTAATAATAATAATAATAATAATAATAATAATAATATACATAAATAGTAAATAATAGCAAATAGGAAATAATAGTAAATAAGGAAACAAAAATTTTTAGCAGTAGCACATACCTGTAATCCCAGTGTCATTGGGAGATTGAGGCAGRAGGATCCCAAGTTYGAGGCCAGCCTAGGCAACTTAGCAGAGACTCTGTCTCAAAATCAAATATAGAAAGGGCTGGGGATATAGTTCAGTGGTAGAGTGCTTATGGGTGCAACCTCCAGCACCCCAAAACATGATAAGAAAAGAAAAGTTACTTCTACATCAAGGACCTAGACATTTCTGGGAAGAAGTAGCAGTGGAACTGGCCTTGAAGGACATGAAGTGGTATTTAGATGTCTGAAGAAATAGAGGAAATACTGACTAGAGATGTAGCTCAATATAGGACACTTGCCTAGCATGCTTGAGTCCCTGAGTTGGATAGTTGGATCCCCAGCACCACAAAATAAAACAAAAGACATTAGAAACTGTAGAACCTCATAACCAAAGCAAAAAGATGGCCAACAATTAAAATTTAGTCACAAGAAAGGCCTTTTTTTTTTTTTTTTTTTTTTTTGTACCAAGGATTGAACCCAGGGACATTAACCACTGAGTCACATCCCCAGCCCTTTTTATTTTCTATTTTCAGACAGGGTCTCACTAAGTTGCTTAGGGCCTCAATAAATTGCTTAGACTGACTTTGAACTTGTGATCCTCTTGCCACAGCCTCCTTAGCTGCTGGAAGTATAAGCAAAGAAAGGGATTCTAATGTGACTAGTTTTCAGGATGTGAAGCAGTCTGGAAAGGTCGTTTGGGGATTGAGTTTTTAAATACCTGAAGGCTGAGTTGTATTCTGTAGACGTTAGTGGACCATAAGAAGTTGTTTTTGTTTTTGCGGAGGAGTCATTTATCCCCCAAAGCCTGTTCTTTTCTTTGATTGTCACAAAATATATTAAGAATTGGCTCATGGGACTAGTGAGGAAAATATAGGTTAAGTGATGTATCTAGGAAGTCCATGATGATGATGAAGGTAGTGAAATTAGTAACWGCTAACATTTGTGGAGTATCTTCTATATGCTAGGCCCTGTTCTAAATACTTTATATGCATAATCTTATTTATTTCTTCAAAAGTCATAGGACATGGGTGTGTTAGTATTTTTTTAATATTTCTTTTTTGGGCTGGGGATGTGGCTCAAGCTGTAGTGTGCTCACCTGGCATGCGCAGGGCGCTGGGTTCGATCATCAGCACCACATAAAAATAAAGATGTTGCGTCCATCGAAAATTAATAAATAAATATTTAAAAAATTTCTTTTTTAGTTGTAGTTGGACACAATACCCTTATTTTATTTATTTATTTACTCTTATGTGGTGCTGAGGATGGAACTCAGGGCCTCACACGTGCTAGGCRAGCACTCTACTGCTGAGCCAGAACCCCAGCCTGGGTGTGTTAGTATTATTGCCATGTTGCAAATGAAGAAATCTGAGAGTAATTAGGTAACTTAACCAAGGAATATAGCTTATAAAAAGAAGGGTTCAAAAYTGAACCCAGGTTATGTAGCTCTAGCCTGCGTACCTTTAGCTACTGACTTCCTTGGTAACTGGGATTTTGAGGGGTTTTTGTTTCTTTTTTGAGTCAGTGTCTTAATAGATTGTCTAGGCTGCCCTTGAACTCCTGGGTTCAATTRATCCTCCTGCCTTAGCCTCCTGAGTARYTGGGACAATAGGTGTGTGTCAACATGTCTAGGTGGCAGTTGGGATTTTTTTGGGGGGAGGTRGTGGTACTGGGGATTGAACCTAGAGGCACTCCAACACTGAGTTACTTTCCCTGCCCKTTTTATTTCTTGAGACAGGACTTGCTAAGTTGCCCAGGCTGGCCTGGAACTTGCAATCCTCCTGCCTCAGCYTCCCAAGTTGCTGTGATTATAGGAGAGCACCACTGCACCAGTTGGCAGTTGGAATTTTTAATCAGGCAAGTGACCTGAGCAGACATGTAGCCACACTGTTTGATTACAGGGTAAAGTAGGAGTTGAAGGAGAGAACCTTCAATTGAGAGACCAGAGAAGAGGCTATTGTAATTGTCCAAATGTATGTTGAAAAGTACCTGAGTTTTAAACAGGTATGAGATCGTGATGAGAATAGCACATGACATATTATTTTTGGCAATTTGCTTTTCTCTCATATCTCCTCCCCTCCCCTCTCACRCTGTCTTCCCCAGTGGTGCTGACTGTCCTCACCCACACCCCTGCCCCCCGAATCAGACTGGGACAAGATGCTATATTGGACTTGAGCTTCGCCTACATGCCCCCAAYCCTCGAGGCTACTGCATCTCTGGCCCCAAGTCCCCCTCCCTTTGGGCTGGAGTGGCGACGACAGCACCTGGGTAAGGGGCACCTGCTCCTGGCTGCAACTCCTGGRCTGGGTGGGCAGATGCCAGCAGCCCGAGAAGGAGCAGTGGCGTTTGCTGCTTGGGATGATGATGACCCATGGGGCCCATGGACTGGGAATGGGACCTTCTGGCTGCCTGCTGTGCGACCCTTTCAGGAGGGMACCTATCTGGCCACTGTACACCTGCCATACCTGCAAGGACAGGTCTCCCTGGAGCTTACTATGCACAGTGAGTAGGGCCAGACATCTCTGGGGGTAGAGGGTGGCCACTGGGGTTAGGAGGATACWATGACAGAGGGAGGGGTGATGAAAAAGAGGGGCCCTGGGAATCAGAGAAGCAGTAGTGTGGGGTGGAGAGTCCCTGGGGATCTGATGGACTTTGGCTTGGAGATTCCTGTGAAGCACTCATGGGGACAGTGTGTTCCCCATTCTTGGAGAATACCCCTTGTCATTTTGGGGGAAGCTGGAGAGTAAGCTGAGGKAAGACATTGTGGACTGACTTCTCATGTTCATTTCCTTCTCTTTCCCCAGAGCCCCCCAAAGTGTCCCTGTCACCAGCACCCCTTGTTTGGGCTGCCCCAGGGGAGGCACCTCCAGAGTTGCTGTGCCTTGTGTCCCACTTCTACCCTTCTGAGGGCCTGGAGGTAGAGTGGGAGCTCCGGGGTGGCTCAGAGAGTGGATCTCAGAAGGCTGAGGGGCAGAGGTGGCTCTCCTCTCTGCGCCACCATTCAGATGGCTCTGTCAGTCTCTCCGGACACCTACAGCTGCCTCCAATCACTGCTGAGCAGCATGGGGCTCGGTACATCTGTCGTGTCCACCACTCCAGCCTGCCCGCCTCRGGGCGCAGTGCTGAGGTCACTGTGGAGGTGGCAGGTAAGACCTAGGGGCACTGTGGAGCCCAGGTGATGCCTCGGAAGACACGAAGTTCACTCTCTTTTCCATCTGCCAGGTTTCTCTGGGCCCTCCCTTGAGGATGGCATAGGGCTCTTCCTGTCTGCCTTCCTCCTCCTGGGACTCTTCAAGGTGCTGGGCTGGGTCGGTGAGTGTGACACTATCCCTACCATGGGAAGGACAGGAGCTAGACACCATTCCTCTGCCCTCCCCCTCTATATTCCCACATCCCAACCCCTCTTAATTTTTCTCCACAGCTGCCTACCTGATCATTCATAAGGATTCCAAGGAGAAGGTAAACAGTGCTCCATTTCCTCTTATCTTCTTCCCCTTATTTAATCCCTCTCTTCCCAACTCATCACCCATGGAGGGAGGCTGCTGCTGTGGTGGGCAGAATCAGACTTGGAATTCACAGAGACTTGCCCTACATTCTAACTGTAGGGCCCCTTGAACATGCTTAAACTGCATCTGTTTCCTTGGATGTCTTGATTTAAAAAAATTACTTAGGCAGTGCTGTCCAATAGAAATATAATGTAAGCCACATATGAAAATTTGAATAATCTAGTAATCATATTAAAAAAGTGAAAAGAAGTTGATTGTGGTGGTGCACATCTGTAATCCCAGCTACTAGGGAGGCTGAGGCATGAGGATCACAAATTCCAGGCCAGCCTGGGCAACTTAAGTCTCTGACTGGAAATAAAATTTTAAAAAAGGGGAGGGGGTGTGTAGCTCAGGGTAGAGTGCTTGCCTAGCATGTTTATAGGCCCTGGGTTCAATTCCCAGTATTGCAAAAAAGGAAAAAGTAAAATTAATTTGATGCTTTATTTAATCAAATCCAAAATACTGTTATGTAGACATAAACAATATAAGAAATTATAGGGCTGGGGGTGTGGCTCTGGATTCAATCACTAGTGTCAAAAAGAAAAAAAATATATATATATAGAGAGGGAGAGAGAGCCTTTTTTCTAACCTAAGTGTTCACAGCTGGAGTTGATTTTAAACTATCAGCACATCAATTCACATTAGCCACATTTCAAATGCTCAGTAGCCATATGTGGCTTCCACATTGGTGGTACCTTGACTAACAAAATGGTGGCTACCACATTGCACAGAGGAGCTCTGGATGACTATTAGGGGGATTAGGATCTGTTAGAAAATGCAGGAGACAAAGCACTCAGTACAGTAAGTGGCAGACAGAAAATGTGAGCCCCATCTCTCTCCCACCTGCTGGACTGACCATGGGCAAGTACCTCACCCCACCTCCTGAAACCCCCAAATTCCTCACTTCCTTCTTATTTTCTTCCAGAAAACACAGTGAAGGCACTCAGCACTACCCTGTGGAAGCTACCATCATCTCTGGCCCTAGCTACTGTAGCAGCTCTCCCAAACAGTACCCCATCACCTGCTCCTACTCTCTCAAAACTTCCTACACTGGATGGCTGGAATTTTTTTTTTTTTTTTTTTTTTAAAGACAAATCTTATTGCATTTGTCTTCTTAAAACTCTTGGGCAGTGGTTCTCAAAATTTTTGGTATCAGGACTTTCTTAAAAATTATCAAAGTCAGGCCTGTTGGCACATGCCTGTAATTAGGTGAGCCTCAGCAATTTAGTGAGGCCCTAAGCAACTTAGTGAAACCCAGTTTCAATAAAAAATAAAAAAGGCTGGGGATGTATCTCAGTGGTAAAGTGCCCTAGGCTCAATCCTCAGGGCCAAAATCAAAGACTCTCAAAAGCTTTTGTTATCTGTGCTATAACTATTGATATTTATTGTACTAAAACCTAAAATAGAAAGATTTTAAACACGAGAATACATAAATACACATTCTATTAGTTTTGAAAGCCATGGTGTCAATACATATCATGTAGCTTCTGGAAAACCCCGCATGTACACTCTTAGAAAATTATAATGAAAAATGCAAATAACATCTTTATAGAGTTGTTAAGTTTTAACCTCAAATACCCACTGAAATTGTCTTGGGGACCTCTGGGACAGAAACCAACCTTGGAGAACCAGTGCTCTGGGGTAAATTCATTCTTCCTGCTCCGTCCTGTGAGTCCCCCCACCCTGCCCGAACACTGCCTACCTCTCCAGTCCTACCAGGTGCTCCCCAGCCCTCCTCTCAATGCTCATCAACACACAGCTATTCCTTTCTTTCGATGAACCAAAGGCYTCCCACCAGCCTCGTGTTCCGCAGCTTGATTCCCTCTGCCTGGCTCCTTCCCTGGGCCCCCGACTTAGGTCTGCCTCGTGATTCCCCTCAGACAGTCGCGTGTCTGTCTTGTGAGRTTCACCACAGCTGTAGTTAAGTGATTGTGAGAATCGTGGTTAAACGCCCGTCTACCCTCCCGGACTGTGGCTCCTGTGGCTCAGCGTGACAAGCCTGTGTGTCCTCTGCTGTATGACTGGCGCCCACTGGAGGGCGCTCATTAAACAGCTCCTGAACTTAGAACCGAGGAAGCCGCAGCACAAGGGGCTGGACGGTCGTCGGCCCGACGGATGGGGAACGGGTCTAGTGTGGGAATAAAGTAGTGTTCCAGTGCTTCCAACCGGGTGTCGCATTCTCTTCCTTTTCCAAGCACAGTCACCTTTGGTCTCTTTCAATTACCYCGTCTCCCAAACGCCTCGGAGATATCCAATCTCCGGTGGCAACAGTGCAGAGTCACACACCCAGAGGCTCCAAAGACGCCTTAAGCAAACGCTACCTSGAACCTCCAACGAGCCGCGAGGACCGGAAAGGCCCCAGAGCCGAGTCTCAACCGGATGTGGCGGCTTCCTGCCCCGCCCCCAGGGGGTGGGCGGGAACTGAGTGCTCCTCAGAAAACCTGGCGTGGATTCGGTCCGTTGCACTCGTGGGTTGGGGCTGGGAGTGTAACCTTGTGGGGTGCAGTAACCGGGTCTTTTCCCGGCTAAAGCACTTTCCGCAATAGTGTTGGCCTTGTTCTTGCTGGTGAAACGAATGTCAAATTCTGCTCCTGCCCTCCTCCGGAGGCTGGAGACTGGAATTTTTATTCCAATTCAGTGAGGAGCGATGTGAGCTCCAGAATCCTGGAGAGGAGGGGCGGGGGACAGTGGAGGTGGGGACCCGAGCCCCTGCGTCTCKGCCCCAGGACGTCCAACGTTCCCCTAGTCCGCGGCTCTGGCTCCTGTCCTCACTTCCTTCCCTTTTTGGCTCCTGCTCTCGGAGCGGGCGGACGCGGGGGGGAGCGGAAAGGGCGGGAGGGCCCGGGAGCCCCGCGGGGGGGTGTAGGGGGGTGCGGAAAAGCCGCGGAGGGGACTCGGTCCAGGGACTCTGTAGAGGGCCGGAGACCGACAGGAACAGCGGCCCGGGACCCGCGCTGCCCCCACYGAGCAGGTCAGAGCCAGAGCACCGAATGACCCTGCCCGTCCTGTACTTGTGACCCCCTCATCCCTAAAATGCACCAAGGGCCCTCGTTTTCCACCCCTATTTTGCTCCCTCCCTCAGCCTTCCTGCAGGACTCCCATCCGGTTACCTTTACACTCACCCGCATTCTTTCCCTGTCCCGCTCCCCCACGCCCGCCTGACTCCACCCCACCCCCATCCCCGTCTCTCCCCAGGCGCCCCCATGGCCCGACCCCGCTGATTCCTTCACTTGGCCATGCTCCCGCGGCCCCTGCGGCTGCTTTTGGACACGAGCCCCCCCGGGGGAGTCGTGCTGAGCAGCTTCCGGAGCCGAGATCCCGAAGAGGGTGGGGACCCAGGTGGCCGGGCCGTGGGCGGGGGGCAGGAGGAAGAGGAGGAGGAAGAAGAAGAGGTGAGACGCGGGTGGTGGGAAGCAGGGGCAAACATATTTCGGAGACTCTCCGCCTTTCTCTCGGTGTCTCTGGGTTCCTACAGCGCTTCCTCCCTGCCTCAGTCATTTTCACGCCTATTGCTGTGTATCTGTCTTCCTGAAGCGGGGAGTCCTGGAGTCTCTGTCTTCTCTGTCAGTGTGACTCAGGATCTGCCCGCAGGAACCTGCCTTGTTCCAGTCTGGAACGTCTGGCTGGCAGTCCCTACGGGGCTCTGGGCCTCTCTGCCTTTGCCTGCCTGAGTTTGTCTCTCGGGGTAGCTGTGTCCTGGTCCCGGTCTTCCTCATTTTTGTTTGGAGGGGAGGGGTTTGTTTCCACAGTAACCAATTCCTCAGACTCTGGGATTGGGGAGGGAGCCCTCAGATTTCGTGACCCCTCCCTCCTTCCCTCCCTCTCTCCTCCTCTTCTACCCTTGATGTTAGATAGAGGCCGGGAAGCCTGGGTTCTGGGACCTGGAGGGACAATCTCAGCTGGGTAGAGTGTGGTTATCTGTTTTCTCTAGGGACTAATGGTGGTGGCCAGAAGCACGGTTTGGAGCTTCAGGAAGTTAGATTTTTACCCCACTTTGATGGTGCTTGGGATCTAACCCAGGGCTCTGCATGCTAGGCAAGCGCTGTACTACTGAGCTACATTTCCAGTCCCAGATGTTATATTTAAGGCCCAGAAGCCCTGGACTCCTGGGTCCAGACACTGGGTGAAGGCGGGGTGACTAGCAGGGCTGGTTTTTCGGGACCGGCCAGGGGGAGGGGCTGAGACCACGTGACTCTGAGTCTACCAGCCTCTCCCCCACCATCATTCCCACTTCCCCTTCTCCTTCCAGTACTGGGATTGGAGCAGCCACCTTCAGGGGGGGTCCTCAGGGCTGGGATAGTGGAAGCCCCACCCGAGAGACCTGGGGAAAGGGGGCCTAAGGGGACAGACTAATTCTTCTGGCTTGTCCGGTTTTTGGCGGGGAGGGCGGGGCACGCTGCTGTGCCTGTGCCTGATTTTTCTGCTTCTCAAGGTCTCTGGCTCTCAGCCTGTTTCTCTTCCCTCTTCTGCCCTTTGTACCCTGCTTTTTACTGTGCTGGGGTTCAGCTCTGGGGGGAAGGGGCATTGGGGGTTTCCAGGATCCTGGTTTCTGCGTTCCATCCAATCCCCCACTGCAACCCCCCCGACTTTACCGGGTCCTGAGGCTGCTGGGGGGGGGCTGTCTGGGCCCCCGTGGGGGAGACCTGGGGTCACCAGCCCCCCCCACCCCTCGCACTCGTTGGTACTGTCCCCCTCCATCACAGGTGAGGGGTACAGAGGGAGGAGCAGGGCCTGGGGTGAGAGGGAGGGCAATGGAGATGGTATGGAGTTATCTGACTTCCTCTTCCTTGCTCCTCCAGGCCCCTGTGTCTGTCTGGGATGAGGAGGAGGATGGTGCCACCTTTACTGTCACAAGCCGCCAATATCGGCCTCTTGATCCCTTGGTGAGATCATGACTTTGGCTTCTCACCTCTGACCCCTCGTGTCCCAGTCCCTTTCCTCTGGCTGACTTTCTGACCAGAGTACGGGTTGGAGGTCCAGAGCCTACCACTCTGCTGTGTGACATAGGCTAAGTCCTTTGCCCACTTTGAATCTCATCAAAATGATTCTGGATCAACTTCTAAGTCTGGAATTGTCCCCAGATATCTAGGGGGCAGTGTTGAAGGAAAGGCCAGTGACCAACTGTCTGTGTCCTCCAGGCCCCCACACCTCCACCACGGTCCTCCCGACGGCTCCGAGCTGGCACCCTGGAGGCTCTGGTCAGACACCTGCTGGATCCCCGGACATCAGGGGCTGACATGACATTCATGTCAGCCTTCCTAGCCACCCACAGGGCCTTCACCTCCACGCCTGCCCTGCTTGGGCTTGTGGCTGACAGGTCAGGGTCATAAGGAGCCAAAGGTCACGGAGGTGTTTTCTAAAGCTGGAACATCCATCCAAAGGAGTCAGAGCCATGAAGGGGGTGGGCAGGGGCGGAGGTGGTTGAGGGAGTTGGAAAGATGCACAGATAARTTCTCTCCCCTCAGGCTGGAAGCCCTTGAGTCTCATCCTACTGATGAGCTAGAGAGGACAACAGGGTGAGTGATCCTATTCTCAACCTCAGTCTCCTCTGCCCAAGCTGTGGCTGGACCTCTGACCCCTGGCTGATTCCCCGTCTCCCAGGGTAGCCATCTCTGTACTGTCAACCTGGCTGGCCTCTCACCCTGAGGATTTTGGCTCTGAGGTCAAGGGTCAGCTTGACCGGCTTGAGGGMTTCTTGCATCGGACAGGGTATGCAGCTGGGGAGGGTGTTGGGGGGGGCAGCGCTGACCTCTTCCGCAACCTCCGGTCCCGGGTGGACCCCCAGGCCCCCGACCTTCCTAAGCCCCTGGCCCTCCCCGGCGACCCCCCTGCTGACCCCACGGATGTCCTGGTGTTCCTCGCTGACCACTTGGCCGAGCAGCTGACCCTGCTAGATGCGGTGAGACCCTGACCTTTGATCCCTATGTCCCTTGACCCCTTACTAACCTCTCCTTGACTCCAGATCCTTGTCCTTGCTTCCACCCYATTCCTAATCCAGTTCCTAGCCTCCTCCATCTACTGTTTTGACTTTTTCCCTTGGTGGTTACCCTTTCAAACCCTGTACCCTTCTGGTTCCCTGGCCACCTGAGATCCTCAGATCCCTGGTATTGGAAGGCTCAACTCACTTGACTGTGAACTTTAACCTTTGCCCTCTGCCCTGCAGGAACTGTTTCTCAATCTGGTCCCCTCTCAGTGCTTGGGGGGCCTGTGGGGTCACAGAGACCGGCCAGGACATTCCCATCTCTGCCCATCTGTCCGAGCAACTGTCACACAATTCAACAAGGTGGCAGGGGCTGTGGTTAGCTCTGTCCTGGGGGCCACCTCAACAGGAGAGGGACCTGGGGAGGTGACCATACGCCCACTTCGACCTCCCCAGAGGGCCCGGCTCCTAGAGAAGTGGATCCGTGTGGCAGACGTAAGTAAGGATTGTCCTGTTGGGGACCATGGTGTGGAGAGGGGTCCCACAGCCTTGGCTTTCCTCTTGGACTCCCACAGGAGTGCCGACTTCTCCGAAACTTCTCTTCAGTTTATGCTGTTGTGTCAGCCCTGCAGTCCAGCCCCATCCATAGGCTTCGGGCAGCCTGGGGAGAAGCAGCCAGGTGGGGAGGCCAACGAGCTGGACTGAGGGTGGGAAGACAGGGTGACTAAGACAGGCCTGTCCTCAGGGCCTTTGTTCTCCTTCCCCCAGGGACAGCCTCCGAGTCTTTTCTAGCCTCTGCCAGATTTTCTCTGAGGAGGACAATTATTCCCAGAGCAGGGAGCTCCTCCTGCAGGTGAGGCCCTATTATCTGGCATACCCAAACTTTCTTGTGCCTACTTGCCACATATCTCCTTGTTTTGTCACCACCAGGAGGTGAAACTGCAGCCCCCTCTGGAGCCACACTCCAAGAAGTCCCCGAGGTCTGGTTCCCGGGGTGGGGTGAGTGATTAGCAGAGGGTTGGGGAGAGGTATGGAGTGCCTTCATAGGGAGAAGTCTGAGGGGTGGGAAGGGGAACCATAGGTGATTGAGGAGAATAAAAAGTTGTTCTCAGAGGCAATGAGGAGGGAAAGTATGGAGGGATATAGGATCCTTAGGCCAGAGACAGGGCCTCTGATCCTGACGTCTAACTTCAGGGTGTGGTCCCATACCTTGGTACCTTCCTGAAGGACCTCGTGATGCTGGATGCAGCCTCCAAGGATGAGCTGGAGGTCAGTGGTTTGTGTTTGCACTGTAATGATGTAACAAGGGGCCTTACAGTCAGGTAGACCTCCCTCCAAAAGGAGCTGGGAGGCCTAAGCAGCTGAGCCCAGGGTTCTGGAGCCAGGTTGCTGGGCTCTGGTTCTGTTTCTGTGACAAGATGCTTCACGATTTTGTTATCTGTAAATGGGAAACTAGTGGCAATATCTATATCAATCTATTATTTATGAGTTAAATGGATTCATATTTGTTAGGTACTTATAGCATGCTTGAAATGTTGGTATATAGAATTTGTTAATTAAACAAGTACTGAGGACTGGGGAGTAGCTCAGTAGGAGCTTACCTGCCTAGCATGCACTAGGCTCTGAGTTTGATCCCCAGCACTGAGAAAACAACAACAGATACCTTGAGCAAGTTCCTTGTCCTTTCTGAGCCCCATTTTCTCATCTGTAAAGTAGACACGTTTTTTACCTGAGTTATTAACTTAAAGGGTTAAATGGAGTGCTTAGGGCATGAGAGAGATAAGGAAGTGGGACAGGAAGGATGGAAGAGTCAAAGAGGCCAGCGGAGTGTAGTGTTTATGGGTTGGATGTGGCGGTGTGGTGTTTAGGAGAGGGAACATTCTCTCTGTTGCTTGGAAGGCAGGGTTAAGACTTTTACTCTTATCCCATTGTCCTTGCAGAATGGTTACATCAATTTTGACAAGCGTAGGAAGGTGAGAGGAATGCGTGGGCTGGATGTTGGACATCTTTATCTGTGTCCCAAGAAGAGAATGAGGGGGGAAATTGRGGGTCCCTGAGAGTTTTGGCTCCTGCAGTTGAGGACTCCTTCCCAGGAGTTTGCTGTCCTTTCTGAGTTGCGACGGCTCCAGAATGAATGTCGTGGCTATGACCTTCGACCTGACCCTGATATCCAACAGTGGCTCCGGGGGCTCCAGCCACTKACTGAGGCTCAGAGGTGACTGGCTGGATGAGGTTGGGAGTTCTGTCTAGGTACAGGGGCTTGGTTTCACATCCTGACCTCTACCCTTTGTTCCCTTCCCCAGTCATCATGTGTCCTGTGAGGTGGAACCACCTGGTACCAGTGATCATCCTGCCCCACGGGTGCTTCGGCCAACACTAGTCATCTCGCAGTGGACAGAGTGAGGGAGTCAGCAGCTGGGGGGTGGTTCCTTGGGAACTTGTCATTCTTCTCTGATCCTCCCAATTTCCTGCCACTGTAGGGTTCTGGGCTCTGTTGGGGGCCCCACCCCACTTGTATCCTGGGACCGGCCCGGTGTAGGGGGAGATGAAGTTCCTGGAACACCTGCCCCTTTGCTGACCCGAATAGCCCAGGTGAGTTCTGCTCTTGACTTCTGGTTTTCACACTGACCCTGACTCTGTAAATGTGTTTTCCTTAACTTCCCTGTCTTCATGCTAGTCTTCCATGTCATTTGTCTTAGCATATGAAGTGGCCATCTGTCTCATCTCTGGATTCTGCCCTGGAAAGCAGTCCCTCCCTGCATAGTCCAGCTGACCCCAGCCACCTCTCGCCCCCAGCCTCCTCTCCTAGGCCCTCTCGAGGCCACCGCCGCTCAGCCTCCTGTGGGTCCCCATTGAGTGGGAGTACAGGAGAAGGAGCCTCCAGGGGAACTGGATATGGGGGAGGGGGATCTTGTCCAGGGGCCTCTGATTGCCGAATCATCCGAGTCCAGATGGAACTGGGGGAAGATGGCAGTGTCTACAAGAGCATCTTGGTGAGGAAGCCTGGGGCTGGGGCTGGGGGGTAAAGGATGGTGCTTTGTTGAACCAAAAATGTTGTCTTAAATTTGGGGAGCTAAATCGATTTGAATGTAGTTTTAATTTTGTCCTTTAGTTTTAGCAGTTTGGTTTATTTTGAAGGCTACTATGCATTACCTTGAACTTCTGAAAGTCATTTAGACTTCAGAACCAACAGCAATTACCCCACAGGGAAATAGCCCTATCTCATGGGACACCATTTGAGCTTGTTTTTAGGGTACAGGGAACCACCATATTGGGTTTCCTATTAATTTTTAAAGTGTTAGACACAGGTAAACCTGTTTTTTTTGTTGTTGGGTAGGAGGTTGAAAGATAGTAGGTTGGTAGGATGGGAAATGGATCATTATAGTTGATTTATTGCTCTTTTGGTCTCCTGTCCTGCTAGGTGACAAGCCAGGACAAGGCTCCAAGTGTCATCAGTCGTGTTCTCAAGAAAAACAATCGTGATTCTGCAGTGGCTTCAGAGTTTGAGCTGGTACAGCTGCTACCAGGGGAGCGAGGTCAGAGGCCAGGAGGGAAAAGAGACTTATGGGGGGACTGGTACCCATCAGTAGAATGCTTCAACAACTGGGTGGTTGTTGGAGGGGATGACTATTTATGTTGACACCCACCTCTGATCTACAGAGCTGACCATTCCACCTTCAGCTAATGTCTTCTATGCTATGGATGGAGCATCTCATGATTTCCTCCTCCGACAGCGGCGAAAGCCCTCCACTGCCACACCGGGTTCTGCCAGTGGCCCCTCTGCCTCAGGAACTCCCCCAAGTGAGGGTGGAGGGGGCTCTTTTCCCAGGATCAAGGCCACAGGGAGGAAGATTGCACGGGCACTATTCTGAGGAAGAAGCCCTATTGGCTTACAGAGGTCATGGTGTTCAAACCAGATGTGGGTAGCCATCCTGAATGGTGTCAGTTACATCACATTGGGACAAATTCTGAAAGGTGGCTAGCCACCCTGGGGCAGTGAAGTGCCACTCATTTATCAGGCAGCAGAGAAATTCAGCCATGTGGGAGCTGGTAATCTTGTAACCAAGTCAGATACCTGTATACAGCTCCTCACCTCTCAAGAATACGGCACACAGAAAAGAGCACCAGTTTCTGATTCCTGCCACATCCTTGCATGTGAAAGGCCAAGGAAAGGCCTACAGGCTCTGAGCCCCAGGGCAGAGGGGAAGGCAAGAAGTAGGTTCTAGTGGGAATTCCTTTTCCCACTGTGGGGCTTCCTGTCACTGTGACAACACTAAGATAATAAACCAAAACACTACCTGAATTTTACTCCCCCGTCCTTGCGGTGCATATGAACTGGCTACTGGTAGTGGGGGTGGGGAATTTGATGAAGATGTACACAATGTTTTCTCCCATGAAAAGCTGCAAGTAAGGTATTGGTGGAAATGGTTTCCTTAGAATGATTTGTTTCCCTTCAGGAACTTCTCCACCCCTTATTCCTTTATTTACTCTTAAAATTCTTCTCTTCACTGGTCAGGCCTTATCAAGAGGTAGACACCAAATTAAAGTGATCTGTATAAAGGGGCTGGGGTCGTATCTCAGTGGTAGAGTGCTTGCCTGGCATGTGCAAGGCCCTGGGTTCAATCCCCAGTACCACAAAAACAAAGTGATCAGTATGGAGAACTACTGGGGGCAAATTTGTTAAGAAACAAGTTTAGGACAAATCAAAGAACAACAGTTTGTAGATAACACAAACTTGCAGGAGATTTAAATAAATTTAAGCTACATTCAGATAAACTTTAAGAGGCTAAAAAGAACTAAAAGAGATACCAGGGCCGTTTGGAGGCTGACAAGTATTAATAGCAAGGAGGCTAAACACATTTTTGTCCTGGGGTCCCAGATGAGAAAAATGTGAGTTTCTTCAATTAAACTGATCCCCCAAATATGCTATATCATGTATATCCTTCTCAGGCTTCTTAAAGGGTCAAGCTAGCCAAAATAAAGGAAAGTAAATGGTTGTATACACAGGCAAGCAGGTTTGAAACATTTCAGAGTAGTTTCAAGAAAAGAAGGCTCACTCTGTCAGATTCCAGTATCAAGAATCTGGACCTGGGCTGGGGATGTGGCTCAAGCGGTAGCGCGCTCGCCTGGCATGCGTGCGGCCCGGGTTCGATCCCAGCACCACATACCAACAAAGATGTTGTGTCCGCCAAGAACTAAAAAATAAATATTAAAAATTCTCTCTCTCTCTCTCCCCTCTCTCACTCTCTCTTTAAAAAAAAAAAAAAAAAAAGAATCTGGACCTAAGGGAGTAAGGCAGAAGGTGTATGTATAAGGTGAAAGGGCTGGGAAAGGTTGGAGACAATTATGACAGAAAGGGATGGTCAAAAACAGAGTCAAGTATTTTTACATTTTATTAGCTACAATACTATAGACCCTAGAGCTGCCTCATTCCCTCCCATCCCCTTTCCCCCAGCCATGGGGTCAGGCCTTTCCAGGAGCCCCTGCCTTTGCTGCCTGAGCCCGTTGAAACTCCTGTTGTAGCTGAGCAAGGGTCTCCCTCTGTTGCTCAGACTGTCGCTCAAGGTCTCGTAGCTGGGATTCGTATCGCTTACTGATGAAATGCAAGAGAAACAAGCAGAAAAGGAAAAATTAGTGGGACTTACCATTTTGAGAGGGTACTGAAGAAAGAAAGAAATTGTTGGAAAAGTTGAGATCTAAGGGACAGAGAAGGGGACCAAAGAGGAAGGAGCTGGGAGAACTGTATAACTGAGGAATATGATGGAGAGCCACTCTACACAGGTCCCTCAACATTTATACTCCAACAGTGTCAGTTGTGGCACAGGGTGGTAGAACAAAGACTTACATTTCAGCTGTTATATAGTCCAGTCTCTTCCCCACTGTGGCCCGAGCTTCCCCCAGCTCCTGTTTGACCAGCACAGGACCCAGAAGTTTAAAGACCACGTTGGACCCATCCAGCAGGGCCAGTTCCTAATGAAGGGGTGGAAAATATATCATCAGAACCACTGCCAATACAAGTCTCTTCTTAGCCCGTAAATCCCAGTCCCTCACCTCTTTTACGATATTATTTTCTGTTAGTTGTGCCTCAAGCTTCTGCCTCCCTGACATGGATTTACTCAAATCTGGGGGGTGGGAGGGAGGAAAGACACGATTAGAGACATCAAACATGCTGCTGACTACCACAACCCTTTCAGAAGAAAATGGATGTAATAATTAGACAAGGATGGGGTCAATGGTAGGGCAGAAAATTAAGRCGGGGAAGCGCCTGCACGCCATAGCCCGAATGGAGCGGTAAATCTTATTGGTATGGYTGGGTTGTGTATGCATTGGGGCGAGGCCACACCGAACCTGCTTCCTTACCTTTTTGTAGCTGTTGATATTTCTCCACTTCTCCCTGCAGCTTCTTTTGGATCAACTCAGCCATGGCGGGGACGAAAGCCTGCTGGGAGCTGGTTGGGGGGGCTGGGTCTCAAGCCCTGTAAGAAGCCCGACCTCCCTTTTCTGGCCGGGCCTGCGAAAATGACAGCTCTTGAAAGGCAGTCTCTCCTTTTCCGGGTTATCGACGGTATCCTCGTCCCAGGAGATGGAGAGTGAAACGAGACCCCAAACCCCTCGATCGAAACCCTGACCTACTCACGTTCTCCCTTCTRTATTAATAAACCCGGAAGTAAACAAGGAATTCTGGGAAAAGCATGGCGCCGGAAGCTACCATTTAATACATGCCGGGAAATGTAGTATCTAGTTCTGTCTTGTTTAATGAGCGGTCTTCTGCTAAAATGATTGTTCTCGGTAGTTTTAGAAAAGTTGAGGAACCGAACACAGAAAAGGAAATGCATTGTTACTTTGTCCTTGGCCTTCCACTTGCATTTGTTTCATTGCTCGGGTATGCTGCCCTTAGGAAGAAGCTGCCCTTAGGAAGAACCTGCTCCGCCCCCAAAGGAGAACGTGCCCTCACTCAAGATGGCGYCAAGAGGCTTCAGATATGACCGGCGCTGATTGGATGAAGAGAAAGGACTTCCGGAAGTCTCAAGTTGACTGTGGGACTGCCAAGAGTTTTGCACGCGGATTGTTCGGGTGGGCGAGATGGAGACAGCCCCCAGGCCTGGCAGGGACGTCCCACTCAAGAAGGACAAACTTCAGGCCAAGAGGAAGGTAGAGACCTCCCTGAGTGGGAAAATAAGTTATTTGCTGCGGGGTCGGGAGTCAGGGCTTGGGCTGAGGAATATCAGGCCTTTTGATCTGCCCGTAGAAAACGCGGCGATACTGGGAGGAAGAGACTGCTCACACCGCTGCGGGGGCCTCTCCGGGGCCCCCTCGTAAAAAGAAGAGAAATGGGGAGCACCGCCTCCAGAAGCCAAAGAACACTCCCATCTCCAAGAAGTCTCGGATCTCCAAGAAGCCTCAGGTTCCAAAGAAACCCCAAGAACGAAAGAAGCCGGAGCCCCAGCGGAGCTTGTCCGGGGTGAGCCTAGGACCTGATAGGGTGGCAGGACAGATCTTTTATGCTTTGAGAGTGAGAGGTATGGGGTCAAACAGAGCCTGTACCTCATTGCCTCATTCCCATCCCAGGCCCAGGACCCATTTCCAGGCCCCGCCCCCGTCCCTGTGGAAGTAGCCCGGAAGTTCTGTCGTATTGACAAATCCCAAAAGGTGAGGACAGTAGACAGTGGGGAAGGATTGAGATTGGGAGTGTCTCTATGAGTTGGGTGGAGGCTGGCTGGACTGGGTCTCCCGTGAACCTGTCTATTCTTTGGTTCTTTACCTGTTCCTTCCCATCAACGTTGTAGTTAACACGTTTGAAGTCCAAAACCCGAAGCAAACTTGAGGTGGCTGAAGCAGAGGAAGAAGAGACAAGTGTCAAAGCTGCTCGTTCTCAGCTGCTGCTTGCTGAGGAACCTGGGTGAGTGGACCCCAACCTGACCTTCTCTAGCAACTGCTTTACAGAACTCTCCTTTGACAGTGTGTGTGTGTGTGTGTGTGTGTGTGTGTGTGTGTGTGTGTTTTGTACTGGGGATTGAATCCTTTTGAAGCTCTACAACTGAGCTATGTCCCCAATCCTTTTTATTTTATTTCATTTTATTTTATTTTTTGAGACAGGATCTCCCTAAGTTGCTTAGGGCCTTGCTAAGTTGCTGAAATTGGCTGTGAACTTTAGATTCTTCTGCTTCAGCCTGTCCACTTGCTGGGAGTACAGGCATGCATCACCACAATGGGCTCCATTCCTCATTTTTATGTTTTTATACCCATCTAATATTAGGAAGCTTTGCTGCAATTGTAATCATTACTTTCAGGTTTCTGGAAGGGGAGGATGGGGAAGACACAGCAAAGATACGCCAGGCTGATATTGTGGAAGCTGTGGATATTGCAAGTGCAGCCAAGGTGAGCTTGTGGAGGGAAAGGGGCCAGTGGGTTGATTGATGGTGCAGGAAAAGAGAGGAATGGTGACTTGGCAGAGGAAATTACCCAGGGGAGCTGATTTTTTTTCTTGATTTTCTTGATTGTGTATGGTGCTTGGGATTAAACCCGCTGCCTTGCATATGCTGAGCAAGCACTTGACCACTGAGCTACAACCCCAGGCTCTGGATACATTTTTTTACTCTTTTCCTTTTTCAGCACTTTGACTTGAATCTGCGACAGTTTGGACCCTATAGACTTAACTACTCTCGAACTGGGAGGTGAGACTGAATTCCAATCACTGGTGTTTGTGCATGTGTGTTTGTTTCTGGGGATTGAACCCAGGGCCTCATACATGTATGTCTAGCCCATGCTGTGCCACTGAACCATACTTTATACTCTTAGGCTCCAGTGACTCTTTTTTTTGAGTACCAAGGATTGAACTCAGGGGCACTCAACCACTGAGCCGCATCCCCAGCCCTGTTTTGTATTTTATTTAGAGACAGGGTCTCACTGAGTTTCTTAGCGCCTCGCCGTTTCTATGGCTGGCTTTGAATTTGGGATCCTCTTGCCTCAGCTTCCTGAGCCGCTGGGATTACAGGTGTGTGCCACTGTGCCTGGCCTCCAGTGACTCTTGAATTAAGATATGGATGTGTTTACTTAGCTATACCACCTGTGCCCTCTTCAGCTATATATGTATGAATGGGTTATTCATGAGGAGTGTGCACATTTGTCGTAACATATTTCTTCTCACTTGGAAAGAAGGAGCTTGTGTGAGGCACACCTTAAATTATCTGAGTCAGGGCTGGGGATGTGGCTCAAGCGGTAGCGCGCTCGCCTAGCATGCGTGCGGCCCGGGTTCGATCCTCAGCACCACATACAAACAAAGATGTTGTGTCTGCCAAAAACTA